TATTGATGATATGGGTAGTACAAGAGTTGATCTACCACGAGATCATAGAGGCTAAAACCCTAGAAGCTAGCCTATGGTATGATTGTTGTATATGATCTATCGACTAGCCTGGCCTCGGTTTATATAATGCACCAGAGGCCTAGGATAACAAGAGTCCTAGCCGAATACGCCGGTGGGGAGGAGTCCTTGTCTTGATCACCAAGTCTTGTGGAATCTTCCATGTATGTGGCAACTGCCCGAACTGGCCCATGAGTATATGGCCATGGGGGTCCTTGTCCCAATCTAGCAGATCGGGAGATGACGTGGTGAGTACCCCCTAGTCCAGGACACCGTCAGTTCTATTGCTAAAGCGTTTGTCCCCACTGGCATGCTCAACTCAGACAGTGCTGACATTGTTTTATATTCTCTACGTTAGAAGTACCGAGACACTGACAAGTTGATAGTTCCCAGATGGGTGACGGTGAGTATTTTGCTTTTGTAGACAGGATGATAACTTGTTTTTGCCAATTTTCTAACTGTTGTTGTTCTTTTTGTACAACAGACCAAGATCCGTGATGGAAATATTGATTTCAATGTGCTAAATTGGTTTACGAGATCGTGCGCTGATGGTTTTGACCAAGTAGGTGAACTTGTACTCTTTGTACTCATGAACTAGAACTATCATGTTTTTCTTGCAAGTTTAGGAGGTGGTGGAAAGAACTTGAGCAGCCTGCTTTTAGCCATGCACTTATAAATGATGTGTGCTTCTTTTGTGTGAAGCTGAACTTATTGTCGCAAGGAAATTGAACTGATATGTTTGTTGCAATTTTAACTAGAGTAGCATATATTTTTTTGTAGTGTTTTGCTTACTCAATTACAACTTATGATTATCTTATTTTTTTGTTTGTACTTCAGAATTTCACTTTTCTTCTTTTATTTTATTGTTTGGAGGCTGAATTTTTTGTTTCATTATGTTTTGTTAAATTCATTTTTCCTCTATGATTTTTTGTCAGCTTCTCTTCCCTTCTTTTGATCTGCCGTCCATTGCGGCTACCATGAAGCCTAGAGAAGAATCTGGGCATTGGTGCTTGATTGTTCTGAATTTGAGGTTCCGTCGTTTTGAGTGTCTTGATTCACTGCGCGATGAAACCTGGACTGATGCAGTTAGATTCTTAAGGAATATGACAGATAACATAAAGAAGGTTTGGAGGGAGTCTAGTGTAGACAAGCGAAACCGTTCTCGCCGGCGCATATTGATGGTTTCTCTTGCGAGTTTGTGCGGGTGCCGCAGCAGAAAAACACGTGAGTATCCGTTTTTAATGAGTTTTTGTTAGTTGTTTTTGTTGCTTGGAGGGTGGTGTTACTGTCTTTTCGGATTTGTGATGTACCCATTCTATTTTTTCTTTTGTTAACAGGCATGATTGTGGATTCTTTATGCTACAAAGCTGCAAGAGCTATCATTGCCGGGAGGATGGTGTGATTGAAATGTTAGATTACATCCACGAAGACATTCTTGACATTAGGAAGACTTTTCTGTACACCTGCGTAACTAGCGATGTGTTTGATGTTGACTTCCATGGTTTGTTTGGCATCGAACCCTGTACGTAATGCATGACCTTTTGTAATTTTTTGCAACTTGTACTTCTTTGATTGGTACTCTCATGATTTGTGTATTTGAACTTTACCCTTGATGCTTTCTTTTCTTTTCTTTATTTTTGCAGGTGAGTGGCTGGATCTTAATAAGCATGACTACAGGATCTTTGGCAGCCAGTTCTTGGAGCTCGAGCGTGTATCTATTGATCTTAGCCAGTGGCATTCTCCAGAAAAGACAAGGTCTAGTGTTCTTAAGGGGCGGTTGGGAGCTCTGAAAGGTTCTATGGCTGCTTGTGCAGAGAGCCCCTCTACACCCAAGAATCCCATTGTGGAATTGATAGACATCGATGATGATGCGTTTGACAAGATTGCTGGCATGGGAAGAGTCACTAGGAGCACTACTGCTGCCAAGGGTTTATCCCCACTTGCTGGAATAGTGGCTCACAGAGCTGGTGGTGCTAGGAAGGATCCTGCTTTGGATTCTGGCAATGTTACAAGCACGAAGCGTGCACCCAGAGCTCCTATAAAGTTTTGCTCCCCTGTGCAGCAGCTTTAGCCTCATAGATTCCCTCACCTGGACAAGGCTCGCAAGTTGTATAATCTGTTGCTTAGAGATGAAGCATGTGAGAAGTATGCCAAGTGAGTATCCCTGATTACGTTTCATCTTCTTTTCCTCTTTTGTTTGTAACTACTAGATAGATATGACCTGAACTGTTACTTTTTATACAACTTGAACTGCTATGAATGCCTTATCTTTGCTTCCCCTGCTTTTTGTTCTTGTCCGTGCTGCAGCAATACATTCTCAATGATACCTCAGCCTGATGGTAGCGTAAGCAGCTTCACTGGGAAACACATCTGGGAAGTTTTTGCACCTAGGCAAATGATGGAGGGTGATGTAATGGACTTCCTTATTGATGATTGGAAGAAAGATCCCGATAGAAATGTTGATTTTGCGTCTGGGAAAAGGGTATTGCTGAGTCCATATTTCATCATGGTAACCAACCAGATCATTTGTTTCTCTTAGACAAGAACGCCTATTTTCTTTTACGAGTTTTGATAATACCTTGCTTTGTTTATCCTTTCCCCCTGTGTATTTCTTTTTTGGCTTTTTTTGCAGGTTGTGCTTGACTGTACGTTTTACGGTGATGAAAATAAAGAGTTTAATGTGAAGAGTGCAGTGAGAGATTTCAAGAGCTATGTTAAAGATAATGAAGACTTGCTCAGTGCCGACCTTGTGAGATCTACTAGCTGATTTTTGGTTTTATTTGTTTGTTGCCATGCTGGTTTTTATTTTGAATATTTAACATCTCTTTTTTGGTCATTTTTTTTAGATCATGATGCCTCTATTCAAGCCTATGGTTTTACCAAAGGATAAGAAAGTGAACCACTTTTCCTTATATGTCATGAATCGGTACCGAAGTAGCATCGACAAACTTGACCCTTTACCTTATCCGAAGAACCATCGTCCTTCAAAGAACACCTATCATAAAGACTGCGAGAAGATTGTGAGTGACATTTATTATCTGTACTGGATTAATTTTTTTGCATCTTTGTTTCTGCTTTTTTCTTAGACCTAAAAATGTGTGGTTTCTTTTCTTTTCTTACAGATCTCCAGGATGGTCCAAGTAATGAAGGATGTGTATGGTGATGCTCAGTACAATGCAAGTAAGCTGCCCAAATGGGAGCTTTTTGCAAAGAAACCAACATTTGTGAAGGTTCCACTTCAAGGGGCGAATGAATGTGGCCATTATACTTTGAAGTATGCAGGATCCTATTATGGTGAAAAGATCGTTGGGAACATTCGAGTTAAAGATGTGGGTTCTAGTTGAGCTTTTCACTTTTCCGTGTTTTGGCTGATTGTGTGTTCTTCTTTTTAATGTGTCATGATTTTCTTGATAATTTGTTTCATTGCTTTGTAGCCTCGTATTGTTGATTGGAAGGCTGAGGATCTGTATAGAGTTGTGTTCAACCGGAATAACCAGCTTCTGGTGACGGAGCTTCCCAAGGAGTTTCAGCCTTTGGCTCCTGGTGCATAGAAGAAATGGTCATCATTCGTGTAGTGAAATGGATAGTTGTGTGATATATCTCTTGAAAGCATTGTAGGCTTTGATTGTAGTGTTTTGGATGTCTTTGATTTTTGATAGTTGTGTGATATATCACTTGTGTATGTTTCATTGGGAATTCGTTCTGGTTAAGTTCTATTTTTACTACTGAAGTCTTGTAAACTAGTTGAACTGAAAACACGCCTTCCCAAGTTCATTGCGAGTTGTTGCTGGGAAAAGTGAGATTTATCATTTATTTTTCATCTGTCCCAACCTAGGTTGGACCTTTATAGTTTATGTACCCTCTTTTTCCTATACTTATAGTATAGTTATGTTGGTACTGAATTGTAATGTCGTTCAGCATTAGGCTTTTAAAATTTTGGTGTCACGATGGCACTTGTGGATCTAGCATGAGTGGAGTGACGCTTCCTTGTTATGTAGAACTGATTTCATATAATGTATTAGAACTGAAGTTTTTTTTGTGATTGAACTTATTTACGACCAAGTAGCTACGTCATCTCTAGCCAGATTTTGTTTGAACTTCTTTGAATTGTAGTAGTTGAACTTCATAGTAAAATTTAAATACTGGTTTAAATTAGCTACATTTAAATATGTCTCCGGGGGGACCTATTTTCTAGGCTGTGGTTCTTCTCAAGGCAATGTTTTGTATAATCATAGTACTTGCCTTACAGACTAAGTTGTACTGACATTTCAGTTGTACTATTAGTGTTATTCTTGAGTGTGTCAATGTTTTATGGAATGTGAACTGAAGCTTCCCATTCCTTTTTATATTTTGTAGAATGAATGTACCGTTTGTTCAAGTGTACCAGAACTCTCAGTCCTAGCATGCTAGTGGCTTGGAAATGTGTACTGATTGTTCTTTGCTTTTCCTGTTGCAGTACTTAGTAAATTTCTAACTACTATTTGCACGATGTTGTTAGTAGTCCTCGGCTGAAACTTAGTCTTTTTAGTGTTCTTCTGAAACTAAAAACTGAATTTTCTTAGTGTGATAGTACTACCATAAATGTCTAAGCTGTACTGAGCGTCCAATTCTACTATTTTGCTGTTGTCCTTAGTTAGTCTGCCACTGTTTTTGTTTTTTTGTGAAAATATCCATGTATGATTTTTTGTTTCTGCATGACTAGTTTCAACTTCAACCTACTTCAACTTCAAATGATGGATGAACAAAAATAGGAAGCTAGCAAACTTGTTGACTGACATAAGCAAACGATGTACGTGATATAAATAGGCAAACTTGTGCAAACCCTGACACACATAACATAAGGTAGCTGGTTCAACATAACAAAAGCAAACTACAAATCTGAAACAACAATATTAAGGACAGGCAAAAGTGCGAGCAACACGAATGCAGACTTTCATGCATCCTCATCCCGCGAAGTTGCAGTGGTAGTAGGGGTCAGCTTCCTGCTCTTCTGAAATATCCCAACCTGTCACGATGTTGTCGATGTTCTTCCATGACTTGTATGTGGCGTACGCATCTATTCCTGTGTACGTGATGAGGTTGTCTGGCAGCGGGCTGGTCCCCCACTTTTTGTGTTCTCCCTTGTCCATCTTATTCTTCATGCCTTTGTAGGATGGGTGGATGACGCCGCCTGCAACATCGGCCAAGGAGTTGAAGTATTTGGTGGTGTGTGGATCTTTCCACTTGTGCTGCATGTCGACGAAGTTGTTGGGGTTGATCTCCAAACCAGACCTGTTCAGCATCCGCTTGTCGCCTCCAATGCTGAAACCGACAAATGTGTACAATTTCTCCTCCTGCAGGAACTGTTTGAGGCGCTTGGGCCTGCAAGGGGGGAGACACACATTGAAGGTTAGTGTTCTTTTTTGAATATTTAATTCTTCTGTTTTTTTTTTGAAAGTGATAATCCATGAGATAGATGCTATATAGCATAAGTCATGGATGAATGTAGTCCAGAAACTAGTACACAATGTCCTGAAATTAAATTCAACCACACCATGTTATTTTTCTTTTTTGCTGTCTTGAGTGCTTCACCAAATGCTTCACCAAATTCAAGAATCATTTTAATAGATTCAATGATATATGTGCTGCTTGATTCAAGTTTAGTTTTCTTTTTTGGTTGAATAAAAGACCTATACCAGTGCTTGATACATCTTTGTGCATCAATTCTATATGAAGTTCAGGAATTGATTTGAGAAACATGTGCATCAAGATATGGACCTATACCACTTCACCAAACATCTTTTAATACATCAATTCTATATAACTATACTAGTGCATCAAGATCATAATCTATGCTAGCACATCATTTTCAGAAATTAATTTGGTGCATCAAGTTCAGAATTCTATAAACATTTTTTTCAGATGCTAATCTGGTGAAACAATCCACTTCACAGTTTCAGAATTGCATGTAAGTTGAGAAACATGTACTCGTGCATACACTTCACAAAGTATAGTAGTTCATCTAGTTGGGAAACTAGTTTAATGAAGTTTCTAGTGAGTAGTACTAGTACAACAGATGAATGAACAATACTATGGGTTACCATTTTGTGGCTGCTGCGATGTGGTAAACCAAGCCGAGTTCCTCGATGCACAACTGCAGGTCTGCCGCCATCTGTGGAGGTTCACATCCCTGGTGAACTCCACATCAACTCCGATGAAGCTCGGATACAAGCCGTCGCCCTTCATCCTGAGCCTGCTCATCACCTCGTCGGCCTTGTCTGGTTCGCTGGTGCAGACGATCTCCAGCGTCTCTTTGCCGTGGAGCTCAACCCCTGTGAGGGTTCTTATGTACTCGTGCTTCTCACCGGGGACGTGAACGTCGATGAGGTCGCTGCTCTTGTCCGACGGCTCGCCATGATGACGCTTGGTGGATGGTTCGTCCGCCATCGCCTTCCTGCGGCGACTGTGGGCTTGGGAGAGAGAAGTTTGTGTTTTGTGTGCAGTGGAGATTGAAGCGGCAATGGTGGTTTCTGGGAATGAGGCAGAGATGGAAGACGATGGGGTATTTTGCAGTGCGTCGACGGGGATGTGTGGGAGGCGGTTCGTCAGGGGCGTGGGTGTGGTCGTCATGGGGGTGCCCGTTTGCAGTCCCTTGTGGCAACCGCTCAGTGGGTGGCGCGGGTGGTGGCCTTGAAGAGGCAACCGTCCAATTCAAATGGTTTTACTGTTGCACTGACTTGTCTTGTCAAGCTGTATTTATGACCTGCTAAATCCCACTTGCACGTCTCAGGGGTGGTGATGACGACATTTTGGACTGTTTAGGTGACGTATGCTTTGTGATGTTTTTCCCTGAGGATGTTAAGTATTTGTTTTTCCACTAAAGTTTTATAGACTAGTTTATCTGAAGACATTTTTCAGTGCCCCGGGAGTTGTTTCTCAAAACTGGTACTTATTTTATTTTCATCTGTACTTACCAAAGTCAGGCCTTTATAGTTTTTGTATTCTCATTTTAGTGCACTTATGGTTTAGTGCTGTGTGAACTGAAATGTAATTTCATACGGCGTGCGGTTTTGAAATTTGGTGTCGTAGTGGTGTGAGTGGCCTGACTGATCCTGCTTTTTTTAGTACTTATGTCATATGTATGATTGAACTGAGTTTTTTTGGGTTTTTTCGATGTCTTGAGGGGATTGAGATTATTTTACGACCCGACCGTTCGTTGAGGTGTGTACAAATTTTATATAAATTAGAAATTTAGCAAAATTGACAAATAAATTCTATTTGAACTTTTTGCATTTTAGTAGTTGAACTTGTCAGATTTTATATAAATAAGAAATTTAGCATAATTGACAAACATTATATGTTTGAACTTTTTGCATTTTTAGTAGTTGAACTTGTCAGATTTTATGTAATAAGATATTTAGCATAACTGACAAACATTATATGTTTGAACTTTTTGCATTTTAGTAGTTGAACTTGAAAGTAATATTTAATTCGGTTTTTTAAATTATGTACATTTAACAGATAGGCTATTCAGTTTTCTTCTTTTTAGAGGTTCATTGTAGTTTATATATTTTTAGTTTCAAACATTTTTCTTGTAGTTTCTATTTTTTGCCTTGCGCTCTGGTTTGTTTAACTGGGCTTATTTGGTGTGGTGTTTGTAAACGATTCAGGCTATTGGGCCGTTTTCCGGCCCAGATAGCTCGTCCGTGCGGCTGTGCAGTGCGGCGTGCGCATGCGCTCTGGGTTTAGTCCCACCTCGCTAGTCGAGGGGGCTCCGAACCTGTTTATAAGCGCAGCCGAGGCTCACTGGTCGAACTCCTCTGAATACTTACCTGAGCTCTTATACACGGCGCTCGCTCTCTCTCTCTTGACCTGTGGGCCCTGATCGGTGGGCCCTGCATTGTGCGGATTACTAGGGATTCGCCTATGGGCTCGAGTTCAAGTATCTAGCAGCGTCAGGGCCTGCGCCTGACCTTGGGCGATCAGTTTTTTATTTTGTTTGTTTGTTTGAATCTAGTACTTGACTCCAGCAGTAACTTGGACTGAAACTTTTTGTTCTAGTTCTTGTAAGTTTTGTGTAAGTGTAATTTTAAGATGTACTTGCATTTAGATTAAGTTGTACTGATAGTCCATTCATAGTAGCGCTTACGTACTGATGCTTGTATGTACTTTTTATTGCAGTAAGTATGTACTGTCCGATCAAGTGTACTAGTACTGTGATTCTTAATCTGCAAGCGACCAACATAAGTGTGTGCTGATGCTTTCTTAACTTTTTCTGTTTTGTAGTACTTGTTAATTATCTAGCAGCTACATATGAATGAGAACACTAGATGGAGTACTAAGAATTTTTTGCTTCAACTTTTGAAGCGTTGTTAAGCAACTCAAATTGTGCTGATTGTTCTCAACGTTATGTTTATATATAATACTAAATCGAAACTAGACATAGAGCAACGTTGTGTGATTAGTTGCATCATAACTAGTACTTTAGAGTAGCTACAAAGTTCTATTCAGAAGCTACTTTTTGAATTTGAAATGATGGATTAACAACATACGAAGCTACCAAACTTATATAATGAGATAAGCAAAACATTGTACTTGATGACATAAACAAACTAGTTCAATAATGACAAGCATGACATAATCATACTGGTTCAACCCAACAAGAGCAAACTACTAATTTGAAACAACAAGATAAAAGGCAAGCACAAGCGAAAGTAAAACGAAGGCAGGCTCTGATGTATCTTCATCCCGCATAGGGGCAATAGGGTTGGTCGTAGTAATTCTCAGCCTCCCGATATTTTGCAATTTCCAAACCATCTATGATGTAGTCGATCATGCTCCATGCCTTGTACGTGGCGTATGCATCCACTCCTACGTACTCGATGAGGTTGTCTGGTAGCGGGCTGGTCCCCCACAGTTTGTAGTCTTCCTGCGTGTTGATGTTCTTCTTCATGCCTTTGTAGAATGGATGGATGACGCTGGCTCCAACATCAGTCAAGGAGTCATACTCTTTTCTGGTGTATGGTACTCTCCACTTGCGCTGAATGTCGATGAACTTGTTGGGGTTGATCTCCAAACCGGACAACTTCAACTTCTCTTTCTCGCTTTCAATGCTGAAACCGGCAAATGTGAACAACTTCTTATGCTGCAGCAACTCATTCAGGCGCTTGGGCCTGCAAGGGGAGAGACATTTTTGAAAATCAGCATTACTTTTGATGTTTGAATTATTCATTTTTGTTTTGTCTTACAAGCGATGAATCCATTTTAAGTATATGTTTATGTAGCATAAATAATGGATGAATGTTCTTCATAAACTAGTAAACAAAGTTCTGAAATTAAATTAAGTACACCATGTTATTCTTCTTTTTTGGATTATACATAGTTTCAGTCAATGTTGTATGTTCTGCTTTGGTACTAGTTTAGTTTACTTTTGTTGAATAGGATAACACATAAACAGTGCTTCACCAAGTCCTTAGTTTTTGTTCTTATGAGAATAACATTAGATCAAATTCAGAAAATACTTCACTACATCAAGTTCAGAAACATCTTTTTAATATATTGAGTACATAAACTACACTATTGGATCAAGTTCAGAAACTAGACTAGTCAGTCAACTTCAGAAATTAATCTTCCGCAAGATTTTCCAAATAGTAATCTGGTGCATCAGGTTCAAAAATACATTTTATAGTGTATCTACTTGAGAAAATGCAGTAGTGCATCCACTTTTCAGAAGCCACACTAGTACATCTAGTTGGGAAACAAGTCTGGTGAAATTTTCAGGATATAGTACTAATAAAACAGATAAACCAAAACAGGGCAAATGAGTAGGATGGCTCACCATTTTGTGGCCGCTGCGATGTGGTATACCAAGCAGAGGTCGTCGACACACAACTGCAGGACTGCTGCCATCTGGGGAGGTTCATCTCCGTTGGTGTAGTGCACACCAACACCGACGATCCTACGAACCATGCCGCCAGCCTTCCTCCAGAGCCTGGAGATCACCTCGTCGGCCTTGTCTGGTCTTGTGAGAGAGAAGTTTGTGGTTTGTGTGCAGGGGATATGGAAGGGCAATGGTTGTTTGTGGGGATGATCGAGAGATGGAAGAGAATGGGATTTTTTGCAGTGAGTTGATGGGGATTTGTGGGAGGCGGTTCGTCGGGGGCGTGGGTGTAGTGGGTGTAGTGGCGTGGGGTCACCATTTGCAGTCCGTTGTGGCAACCGCTCAATGGGTGGCGCGGGTGGTGGCCTGGAAGAAGTAACCGTCCAAGTACAATGGTTTTTACTACTGCACTTACTAGTCTTGTCAAGCTGTACTTATGACCTGCTAAATCCCACTTGCACGTCTCAAGGGTGGTGATGACGACATTTTACTGTCGCACTGATTTGTCTTGTCAAGCTGTACTTATTGGCTGCTCATCCCACTTGCATATGTCAGGGTTGGTGATGATGGAGGTCTGTACTCCTCTACTGTGGTACTTGGACTGGTGATTGAAGTGTAATTGAACTTACCAAATACCAATGACACTATGTGTGATGCTAATGTTTTTTAAAACAATTTTTGTATTTTTTAAAGGATTGTTTATATCAAGATAATCTCTGAGTATTTTTTACAGATAAATTAGATTTTTCATCAGTACAGAATGTATTATATTCGCATTTTTGTTTAAGGTAATTATTTTTATGTACTGGTGGTCTTTCTGAATTGGGACTGGCAGAAGCAGACATAGCTTTGTTTTTTTTCAAAACGATGTTTTTTTAGGTGTTCACGGGTGTGTTTGTTTTACTCCGCCTTTGTACTGACGACTGGTCGATAGTAGTGTTTTTTGTCAGTACAAATGTATTTTGTGACTACATTCAAAAGGATTATGAAATGTTTTACGTAATAATGTGACTGCTCTAGCGGGCACAAATCACAAATTATATCAGTACGGATGTGTACTCTGTCTTTGTACTGACGACTCAGAACTATCAGTACTGATGTACTATAGGAGTTTAAGTTTTCCTTGGACATTTTTTTGCTGTTGAGTTACTGGTCGACAGTAGCGTTTGCGTCAGGTAAATCCAGATAAGTTTTTTCAAATGTATTTCTGACTGCATTCAAAAGGATCATCAATTGGTTTACATAATAATGTCACTGGTTCAGCGGGCACAAATCAAAAATTATATCTTAAC